GGTTCGTGGACCCACAGGGGGGTCCACCGAAGGCCCCAGTAGCATCGTCCACATGGCGGCGCCACGTCACATGGACGCACCCCTCACACGGTCCGCGGCCCCACATGGTGCCCCCAGTTGTATATGGTTGGGTTTTTCGCCAGGCTACATTGTTTTTTTTTTTTTGGTTTGGTGGCTGGGCGTTTCTTATCCGCGTTGTTGGGTTAGCCTGGTGGTAAGGAGCCCAGGGAAACAATTGTTAGGAACAGTTGAGGTACCGCAGTGTTGTGGCGGATGATGAAGGCAACCTGCGGCATGACATTCGAGACATCAGAACCGCGATTCAATTGTCCAGGAAACTCGTTTTGGACAGTTGCGTTTTCACATCAGTTTTTTTTTGTTGCTGACATGTGGTAGACGCATGGTTTCGGACAGTTGAGGTTTGATGAAATGTCATTGGGTGCATTGGTGCACATGCTAATTTGCACACTGGCCCCGCATTGTCCCAGGTGTTGTGCTTGATAAAAGGGGGGCATCGTGGCGCGTCCTCGCGTGGCCCTGCGTTCGTTTTCCGTCATTTTGAGGCCGTTCGGGGCCGTCATATGGGCCCCGTTGAGGACCTCGTTGGAAGTTTTTTTGGGCGCTCGGAGAAATCTCGCGGCCCATCCGAAAGCGCGGAAAACAAACGCGACATATTTTTCAAACGTGGACACAAACGATGAAACATGCATGGCGTCGGCTTCTGTGGACCAGCGCGGGGGCCGCCCTTGCGGAGCTCTTGGGCCGCCTGGGCGGCCGCGGGTTGAGTGCTTTTCCTGGTCGCGGACTCCTTTCGAGACCGCCTGTGGGCGTCGTTTGATAATCTATGATGATTTATGGGCCGTCTTGGGGCCCTCTCCGACAATCGGGCGGTCTTCTGAGGGGTCGTTGGCCGTCTCGGAGTGGTCTCTGGGGACCTCGAAGGCCGCCCTGGGGCGCCAGGGAGCCCGAAAGGTGCGGACCTCCACATCTTGAGTATAATCAAGGATAGATCAATAGTATTTGTCTTTCGGTGCTGTGGTGGGGGCCCTCGGATATCCTTGCGCGCGTTTGCGCCGCCTCGCGCGTCCTTCGTGGGTCTTGTCGGTGCGGAATCAAAGGATTAGCTGGTCGCGGCGCGCCTTCTGGGATCCCCAAGGGGCCGTCGCGATGTCTTCCTGCGCCGCCGCGGGCGCCTCGCGGGCCGCCTCGGGGCCACGCGCGGCCGTCTCGGGGCCTGCTTTGGAACCTGTCGGGCAGCGTAGGGCCAACATTGGATTGGAACGCGCGGGGGTTGAAACGATCAAACAGATGGTTGTTGAGACGGGGCGGCTGTTGTGTCACTTATGCACGGCCGTGGCCTCGATGACACTAACCAGACGCATTGCGCGCGCCAAACGGGGTGCGATTGCATATCCTGTCGAACTGCAAGTACGTCATACGCCTTAGAGAACGTTGGAAATAATCCCAAATGGAAACGCGAAGCGTTTTCACGCGCCTCTGCGTGCGAAAGCATGGTGGCGGCCTTCCTTTCCTTCCCCTCCGACCCCCTTCCCCCCCTCGCCGCGCTCTACTCTGCGTCCCCCCGCTGCGCCTCCGGCCCCCGCCCCGCCAAACCCTCCGTTCCTGCCCCCCCCCGCCGCCCCCGGCGCCCCCCCCCTCTGTTGCCATTTTGGATCCGACCATTCTGGCTCAAGTATTCTGGCTCCACAGAACCCTCTGCGTCGACGTCGTCTCCGCGGTGGGTCGACGCCCAGTGCGCAGGCTGCGCTGGCGCGCGCTGTCGGCCCTTCGGAACGCGCGCAGGCCCGCGGGGGCGCGCTCCCGCCGTTGCGGCGTGCGCGCGTGCGCGCGCGAGCGGGCTTTCAATCCCTTCGTTGTGCGTCGCGTCTTGCGCTAATCTGCGCGGTGCGGACGTGCGCGGTCGACTGCGCCGCTTCTTGCGCCGTGCGGCGACGAGAGGATGTTTTTTTGTTGTTGTCGCCGCCGTTCGAGGCGCCCGTCAATTCCTGGCCGCTGCTCTTGAGTTCTGACCGTTCCCAGCGAGGGTGCCCAGCCTCATTGCTGACTGTTGGCGGTCGCGCTTCGACGCGCGATGCGTTTTTAGCGCGCCCTGAAAACCAGCGCCCGTTGCAATCCGATTCCATACCTCGCTGGTTTTTTTCCAGCTTGGGTTTGCGTTCGCGCCTTGCCGTGCGCGGGCGGCCCTACTCGCGTGATCGCGTCGCTTTGGATGCGCGGCGCGGTTTTCATTATGGTTTTGCGGCCCCAAGAACTTTCATAAGTGCGCCTGGCGACCTGCAAATTTGCACAGCCAGTTGCCATCGCGCCGCGACTTCTGGCGATGCCATCGCCCTCGAACGTGCGCGCGCGCACGTGCGAGCCACTGATTGTGGGTTAGCGCGCGCAGGCAAGCGCATCGCGTTGGCTTGTGCACTTTGCGTTCATCATGCGGTTGCGCGCTGTAGTGCCGCGTGGGGTTCGCGCGTGGTTGCGCGACCTCCAATGTGTCATTGAACGTAATGGCGCCTTTGATGTCGCTGTCGCAATGACACTTGCTCCAAGGTGTTTGTTCGATGTATCACCGCTGCCGCTGTCATTGGCGCAGCGGTTCCTCATCGCAACGTCGCGATTGGCAGGCAATTCGGTCCGCGCCCTTTCGCGCCAACCGCTGTGATCGTGGTGCCCATCGGGGCTTCAGTCTGCAGCGAGGAGCATCGCGCGGGCGCTCGCGTTCTCGCGTTCAGTCAGCCGCGATTGGTCCAACGCTATACCGAGCATTTTGCGATTAAACGTTTAATTTTTTGAATTGCGTTTTGTCGTCAAAAGCTTAGCCAGTAGAATGGCACCACTGAGGAGTGCAAAAGCTGACAGGCGGGCGCTCGCAAACCAAGTGGACTTGGCCAGCGGCGCCCGCACGCGCGTGCTTCCGGAAGCGCAAAAGCAGAGAGGCGGGCGTGCGCAACCCAACTGGACTTCGCCAGCGGCAACCGCACGCGCACCCTCGCGAGCATGCAAAAGACGTGGGGCGGAGCGCTGGGGGGAAGCCCCCGGCGCTGCCCGCGCGCCCCCTCAGGGCGAAACTGGAGAGCCGATTTGCCCAAGAAGTCTGCGCTTCTGGAGCGGGAGCAGCAAGGCCCACGAATTCAGACGGACCCAGTCCGCGGGGAGCACCTCGTCCACGGCAACCGCACCCATCGCGCGGACATCCGCCAGCAGGCGTCCTGGCTGCGCGCGGGTGTATCGCGTCAGCGGTGCGAGGTCGTCAAGTGCAGGGGGGCGCTCACATGCGGCACGCCCTAAAAACCCCGCGTCTGCCCGACCCGCGCAGCGGCCCGCCTGGGCCGGAAAACGCCGACGGCGTCGAACTTTGCCGCCTCCCTGACGATCCACGCGGTCGTGCACGGAGCACACGAGAGTACGTCCTTCAAGGAGCCGTCCGACAAGACGGAGGTGAATGGGAACTGCCTCGCGCGGTTCTGCATGTGCCGGATGTCCTCCGCACCCACTTTATTCGTCGTCTCCCAGAGGCCCTCCAGCTTGCCCGTGAAAACGGCGCCGTGGTTCCAGCAGACGTCCTTGTTCCCGTCGTTGAAGGACTGGGAAACCTGGATCTCGGCGTGCTGGCCGACGAACAGAGACAAGAACAAAGAGACGGGGACGGTCTTCTCGTGGGCGAACTCAACCGGCCGGAAGTCGTCCCAGAAGATGAACCGCTTCGTGCCGCTGGCCAGGTTCCGGAGTCCAAAGGAGGAGCCCAAGGCAGGCTTGTGCAGAACCCGTTTCGGAGTGAACAAGTCGTCGAAAGGGTAAACTACCCTGCTCTTCCCGGAATTCGACGGCCCCACCAGGAAGGGCACCCTCGTCGTCTTCTTCGGGCCGACCATCAGAATGTCCCGCAGAGACGCCGCGAGCTCCCGAACGTCGAAAGAAGCGGCGCTGCGGGAGTGGTCTCCACGGCTGACCTGTACGAGCACGCCGGGCCATGGGGACATGTCTCCTCAGCGCAGCGGCACACGAGCGTCCAATCGTCCACCGCCACGAAGGCCGCGTTCTCGCGGGCAGACGCCCACTCCTTCGTCTCCTCAAGGTCCGCCGTCAGCTTGCGCACTCGGCTGCGGACGAACCGCTGCATGGCCTTCGTCCCGCGGTCCTGGACGTACGCCATCAGACGCGCGGGCAACGCGTTGCACGATGTTCTGGACACGCGTGCAAACGACATGAAGCCGCAATGATACGCTGGCTGTGTCCCGCGCGGGCCTGCACTAAGGCAAACGCGCGTAAAGCGCAGGAGTCGCGAGCACCGCAGGGCCCTCGCCATGGGCAGTCGAGCACCTCCCGAAAGGCAGGGATGGAACAGTAGCAGCACGGCTACGATTTTCAAGTCCACGGATCCACGACACGTTTCTCGGTGCATGCGCTGCGGCAGGAATTCTGAAATCTCTCGGCGGTCACTGAGGAAAAATCCGCTCTGGCAGAGGCCGAGCCGCCGATTCGGCTGGCTCCCCGGCCGCGGCTGGAAAAATTGCGTCGTGGCAAAGACCGCGCCGCCGACTCGGCTGATCAGCGCCAACGCTCCCGGGCCGCAGGCTCAATCGCTCGGGATCCTGCCTACCCACGGCCACGACACCTCCGCCGCCTTCGTCTCATCTTATCCACGGCCGTCCAGAATGACGCTCTTCTGGATGAGCTTAGGCGACGGTGCTCCTGATGCGCGCCCTTGTAAGCGCCTCTGATACTCGTTGGCCGGCGCGCTCAGCGTCTGCCATTCGCCCGGTTGACCTCCGCCCAGAGGAAGTAGTCGTGGGGGTTCAAGTCCGGGGAATACTTGGGGAACTTGATGGGGGTGATCTTGAGACCCCGCCTGAGAGCGACCGAGCGGGGTCGACCGGGGCGCGAACGGCGGGCGATCAAGAGCGGGCGCCGACTGGCGGGGCGATCGCCAGACGGGGCCCGACTCGAACTCGCGGCCGCCGCGGTGGCGCGCCAACTAAGGGGGCCGCTTGCAGTCAACGGCCTTCTTGCTCTTGTACCCCGTGGGGTCGTTATCCTCCAAGATGCGGAAGGCGCGGCGCCCCTTCCGGCAACGGCGAAGCGCGGGAGCGAGGACGCCCGCGTAGAAATCGCAGGCTGCGTCGGCGCACCACAGGGCGGGCAGGTAGTGCCAGACGCGGACCTTGTTGTTCACGATGGCTGCGGCCACGTGAACCTTGGCGCCTGGGTTCACCCTGTTCCGGTTCCCCTTCGGCTTCGTGAAAGGCTTGAGGACCTCCTGGGGGAGGGCCCGGCCATGCGCCCCCCGCCCGGTCCCCCACCCCCCGCCCCTCGCATCGAAAGAAATTACCCCAATAAGAACCCTATACCAGAAAGAAACTACGCCAAGAAAAACATGTCCGATCGCCTGGACGGGGCCGATCAGACCCGATCAGACTTGGATCGCAGACATGGATCGGGGCAACGATCGGGGGCGGAATCGGCATCTCGACTTCGTCGGCCCGGCGGCCCCCGCCCCCAGCCCCTGGGATCGCACTCGGGACCGAGAGTCGCGCCCTCTCTGCCTTGGTGCGAAGGTGGCCGCGAACGCGACTCTTCTTTGCGTGCGTCTTCGCCCGCTTGGTCATGGGGATGGGGAACACCTTATTGTCGATGATGGCATCGACCTGGTGCGTGAAATAGTTGCCCGGGAGCCGCTTCCACCCCGAACACACGGCCACGCGCTCCTCCGCCTCCTCGGAGCCGCGGAGCGGCTCCGCGCGGGGAGCGCGCCAGGTGACCCCGAGGCGCTTGAAGTGCCTGGAGGCCGTGCCCTTGTGGACGTCGGAGACCCGCGCGGCCTTCATCACGTCCTTGAGGTGAACCTCGGCCTCGCCCTTGGCCGCCCGAATCAAACGAACCCGCGCGTTGTTCAAGGCGCGGAGCTTGACGGCCGTGAGCTTGGGCTTGCGGCCGCGAGTCCCCGCTGGGCCACGCCTGTGCGTGGCGCCCCGGAGCGCCCCGGAGGGCCCGGCGGACGGTCGTCAAATCCGACTCGCCTACACATGTGCTTGCCGCCAGCTGGAGCTCTTAGGGACCTGGGCGTCAACGCTGTGTCCGTCACTGGGAGTTTGTCCTCTCCGGGCCATATTGCGTCCTCTCAAGGCCGGTTTGAGCTGTTGAGGCCGTCTTGGGGCGTTTGAGGGGCCTTGGCCGTCTTGGGTTCTCTCCTGGGGCCCTCTCGGGGCTCTTGGGGGGCATCTGGGCCCCAGCGGCGTAGAGCGAGAAGCAGCGGTCGAGCTCCCTCTTGCTGAGGTGGGGCGCCATCTGGGCCCGCGACCGAAAAAGGGGTCAGATGGCCTCGGGGCGGGGCGAGGCCGTTGCTGCGGTGACGACTGAGCCGAAACAGCTGCGCCAGGTGAACGGAAGGCTAGTCGATGTGACCGGAGCACGCGGCGGCGTTCATAGTCTGGCGTCGCTCTTGACGCCGCCCTCAAGACGGGCGGCTTCGGGCAGCCTCGAAGTCCTTGCAGGGCGCCAACGGGAGAGCGCAACCCGTTGGGCAGCGGGGAGGGGGCCAGTCTTGCAACGCAGCCCATGCAGATGCCCGTAGCCGAAGATGCCATGGCAAATGAGTCCGCCGTTTGCGAAATAAACGCCCACGTGTGGAAGTACTAAGATCCCCGCCCCGCGCCCCGCATTTCAATGTTGGCCACCGAACACGCCGAAGGGGAGTGCGAAGCGTTGCGAAATAAACGCCCACTTATGTTGGACTGCCCAGCCCTCCCCGTCAACCTTGAAATACGGGGGAAAAGGGGCGTGCTTCGTCGTCTTGATTTCGATCCCTAAGATGGGCGTTTGATTCGCAAGCGGCGGTA